ATGCTCTCTGATGCTGTTTCTGAACAAGTCACTGGCTCATTTTCCATCAAAACGAAGAGCGGCGCATGCTTCTGTAAGACGGGCGAGAGGATCTGTTCCCGCGTGCCTTGGCTTCGGCTTTTTGCCCACGCTCCAAGGCTACAAGAGCCTGTCGCATGATTTTGTTGAGGCCTTGAGTTGCGGTGAGACCCTTGTTGCGCACGCCGATCAGGATCAGCTGGTCGAGTCCCTCTTTCAGCTTCCTCCAGTTCTCCATCCACGCGTCTGCTTCTGCCCTGGACAAATCGCCTGTGCATTGAGGCTGTGCGACTGGCTTCACGCGGTTAAATTACGCTCCTGCCTTGGGCGTGCTCGACGAGGGTATTGATGATGTCGCCGATCTTCAGGTAGATGGAACCGATGCGATCGCGAGGGGATGTCATGGCAGGCAGAAGGCGAATGCTGGGGTCGTGTCTAGTCTTGGAAGCCTTGGAGCCACAATGCCAGTGCTGCTTGGCCTGTTCGGCAAGCGCCATCTATGCACGCGCACGGGGCCGCCCTGGGGCTATATACACAGCTTCTGTCATCTACTCAGTGCCCAGGACGACCTCGCAAATGTTTCTCTGGCTGCTCTTTTGGATCCAGGTTTTCGGCGCGGCATGCGCCCAGGCTTTAGTTTGTTTAGGTGCAACTCGCCCAGCATTATGCGTCACAGGGAGTGGACCTGCTCTCGCACGGTAAATTTGTTGATGCTCGGAAAAGCTTACATTGTGTGTGAGTGTGTGTGTGTGTGTGTGCATGTGTTTCCTGCCGATGCTGCAGCTGGTCGTGAATGACCCGGGTCTCAACTCGTATGGAGGCAGCATGCACTCTCGCAGACACACAAGCAACGATTTTGCTTCTGATTATCTGATCCGGTGATCGATCGGGTGAAACCGGGGCAGTGGAATCGAGCTTTCCTTGGGATGCAGGGCTTGTCTCTGCAGCCTGCGATATTGCGCCAGCGCATTCATAAGTTGTTTGCGTACTTGGCCGTCGACCTGCACCTGAAGCCGGCACTTGCTTCCCCTTTGCTGGACGTGTGCGGTACGTTGGCAACTGGCCTTCAAGAAGCAGGAGACCCGGTCAAAAAAGACGTTGATGTCCTTTGTATGGTGCGGCTCGCACGTGAACGTATCGTACATGTGCTCGGCGATTTCATCCGCAGCTTGTCTCGCCTGGCAAAGTGCTTCTTGTTGCTCTTTGTTTCACTGATATGCCACCGAGCCTGCACCCGCAAGGGATGTCGACCGAGGCGCTGCCGTTCTTCGGGAAGCACGGGTCCATGCTCTCCCAAGACGTGTTTGACCTGACCGGCTGGCAACGGCCAGGCTTCCATGCAAATTTGTGGGAGCCTCTGCGATTGTCTTGCCGCGCAGGTTCGTGTAGTTCTCGATCATTTCAAGCAAACTCATCCTGGGCACATGCATGACAAGAGCGGCGAGTTGCTTCGAGACTTGAGTTTGTGGCCGGTCGTCACGAACGTGCAGCGACCTGATGGCCATCGATCTCAAGCCGGGGAAGAGCTTATGCCCGGCTGACACTGAGAGTGATGCGAGTTCCGCTACGATGACCCTCTGCTCTATTCCCTCACGTACGCTTGAGACTCATCTGCCGAGAGCGAAGTTTGGACACTTTCCGAGACTCGGTGCAGTTTTCTGGAGCCTTTGCGCGAAGGTTTCCAGCTACTGAAGGCTTTCTTGCGTTGCTACACAATGGTCTTGTTTGGTAAGTTACACCCGGTTTGACCGGGAAGCGCAAGTCTACGCGTATTCAAAGTGGTGACGTTTCTTGTGAGCTCCGGGGCACAACAAGCAATGCATACGCTTCAATGTTGCACTCCTGGATTGGGTTTGGGAGAAAAGCATTGTGGAAGCTGTAAAACGTGGTGTTGCTCTACCTCATGAAAGGCCTGCCCCTTTGTTTTCGCCACAACTCGCTTCGGGGTCACTCACACGGCCAGAAGTCCTGGGCGTGCGGGCAGGTTTAGTGGAGCAATGTTCCTTGTGGGGTATGATGCTGAGCCCGGTAATGATGCTGAGCCCGGTACACTTTGCTTCGCGTGGTACCGCAACAGGCATTGACCTGAGCGGCAGGATGCTTCGGAAATCTGCTGCAATGCGGAGCCGGCGGAGCAAATATCGGTAAGTTGGCGTATGCGCACCACTTTCCGTGGATTCGCCAATACCACATTCTTTATGGCCTGCGCGTCCTGGAGCACGACGGGCACTCGGATGGGCAGCAAATCTGGCGGTAGCTTTGACCGTGCTTCCCTCGGACCTTGACCGGCAGGCGCTTGCTGCCCTCGCGGAGAAAAGGGTAGGCTTGGCACCCCGTGATTCTTTTGCGCTTGAGGTGCGCGCTCCGCAGGGTCCAGCGCAGGGTGACCTTGCAACCCACGCAGATTGTTTGCAATCAGCCAATTAGACGGTTGGCAAACCAGCCGGGGACACCGCATCCTGCGACTTGAAGAAGCTCCTGCGAGGTGCTAGTCGTGGGGACAAAGCGTTTTGGTGCGAACGCCTGCGCTTGACACGTCCGTAAGGCAAGCGGGACATCTCTTCGATGTATGCCAGTGAAATCTCACCAGTCCAGGCCAGCGCTTCTGCATGTGCCCAATGATGAAAGGGGGACTAGACGACTTGCGACTCTACCCGCGATTCCACTTGCCTCGTCTGATGATTCCCTGGAATCACCGCCTGACAGTGCTTTGCGGGGATGTGGAGGGATTACTAGACTCGAACAGCATGTGCGTGCCTCGTCCCCTCGGAGCCGATATCGCTACCATCGTCGTTGTGAGCCGAGCGCTGGCCACAGAGGGAAAACAGGCGCGGCCATGGCATGCAGGCGTGCCTTCGAATTCCGAGTGCGGTACCGTGATGGAAGGCGCGGTCAAGGTTTGGGTCCGTTAAAGGCTACGTCTGTCGAGTTCATGCTGAGAGTATAAGATACAGGCCGCGTTGATGTGCTTATACATCCGTCTGGGCAACCTAAACCTGGCAAAGACTCATGCTTCGGGAAACTTGGCTTGGCAACTTTCTGAAGAAGCCCGGACTTCGCCGCCTCGTCTGGCCGGGCAGAACGGATGTGCTTTCAGGCTTGTTGTGAAGCGGTTCTTGCGTGTCCTCTCGTCGAGCACAGGGCTTGAGCCACGGGGGTAACAAACGGCTGTGGCTTCAACGTGAACGGTCATGCAATCGGACTAGCACATGGAGCAATTTTTGCAGGATGCTCTTGCCGGTTGCATCTTCGGAGTCTGCACATTCAGGAGTTGTTTGCAAGGAAGAGCTGGAAGATCGCACCCTCCACTTCACTGCTGGTGTAGAAGCGTTCGTCGTTGTCTATGACCGTGCCATTCGGGTCAACTAAGTTCAGGGCCGGCTGTGGCGGTGGCTGCCACGGAGCTTCTGAGACGTGGTACAGGAAGGACTTCCAGTCGACGAAGAGAGGCTCGGGTTCGACGAGCAGCAGGTGTGCCCGCAGAGCTACATCGCCGGCTCTGTCGCCTGCATAGACCTGGATTTGCGCAGCCTGTCGTCCAAAGGTGATGCGTAAATTCCCGACGGGTGTGCGTCGTGGTGCCGATGGCGTACGGGACGAAGGAGCTGGTGGAGGAGTACGCGGCTCTTCGGCACCGGACATGGCTGCAGGACGGAGATGCGAGCTCACCAGCTTCTTGTGTGCGTGCGTCTGATGTCTGCTGTGTTGAACTCCGTTAAATGCGCATCGCATTTGCGGCTTGCTTGTGAAAGCTCGAGAGGCTTGAGCACAAGAGATCTGCGAGTCGGTTGGAATCGGTTGGACTTCTGACGAACTATAGATCCACACCTTGCGATGAGTGCAACCCAATTTGCTGCAGGACGTGAATCGGCCCTTCCCGCACGACGAGCGCTTGTGATGCTTTCGCCGAACTTTGTAGATGCTGTGTTCTTAGCGCCGCGGCCGCCGATGCTCAGTAGGGAGCCACGCCGTGGTTGGTCGTCGAACCCCGTCTTTTCAACGAGGGTGGTATTGGAAGGTACTTGCCCTTAGGATTGGGAATTTGCCAAGGGCGAGTGTCAGTCGCTTCGATGTCGTCTGCCTCGTTCAAAGCAAATTCTTGTAACAACGGAATGCTCGATGGTTGCGAGGTGTGACAAATGCGAGCCAAGGCGCCGCGTCGGGAAGTGTAGTGTCGCCACCGGCCGAACTGTTGTCGTTTGTGCGGGCCGGCACGTGGTTCTTCTTCAAACACCATCTTTTCAAGGAAAATGGCATAGGCAGGTGCTTGCCGTCCGAATTGGGGATTTGCCAGGGGCGGGGCTCAGTCACTCTGATGAAGTCTGCCTCGTCAGAAGCGTATTGTCGTAATGCCGGAATGCTCGATGGTTGCGAGGTATGACAAAGGTGGGCCAAGCTGCCGCGTCGGGAGGTCGAGCATCGCCACAACTCGAATTGTTGCCGCTTGCGGGAGATCGAAATAGTGGCGGGCTCCACAGAATTACTTGTCCATCTGCGGCAGGTGCCGAGCGAGGAAGGCAAGATGTTCCGACTCTTGCCAAAACTTTCGTGTGGAAGCACATGGCGCCTCTGTTCCAGGCCAGTGGCAGCATGATCGCCTCAGTTGAACGGCTCTGCTGCGGATGAACCAAGAAGAGTTCTAGGCAGCATGCATGCAACCGAGCAACTGGAGCCGTCATGGCTGATTGCACACTAGTATGCGCGGGCAGTCTACGATGAAAACTCACAAATCTCTGGAGCCTTTCGCGAGGCTGCGCGGAGTGTCTTTCAACGACTTCAATTGCGTGAGACCTGTTCAATCCGAGAGACTGGAACCTCAATGCTTCTGGAATTGCGCAAACGAATCATGTTGTTCGTGGCTTTGCCTTTTTTCTAGCATGTGGCTGACTGTGGTATCGTGAAACGTGTCGTTAATGTGCACTTACAAGTCCCGACTGGGGCTCAGAAGTCCTGCGTTCGCTCCTGACCAGAGGTACATCTGCTCAGGTTTTGAGTTGGACCCGTAGATCCATCTGTTTCTTCAGGGTTGCCGCTAGGCGTGAAGCGGTGCGTTTGAGCTTCGCCTCTTCTTTTAGCAGCCTTCTTTGCCGCTTTTGATACTTGTCGAAGTTGGAGAGGCAGAGCCGTAGACGTCCCCTGACTGCAACGTTGAAGCCTTGAAAGTCGTCCGGGCAGAAACACTGCAGTCGTCGTGCGTGGTCCCAGTCGTTGACGATCTTCTCTGCAAGTTTCGGGAACATCGCGAAGCAGCCCAAGAATGCGAGAGGGGGGAGTCCCAGAGCCCAGTCGCCTTTACTTGTGTACCGCTGTATCATCACAGCGACATGCACTGGCACGCTCTTCGCCCATTGGCGGGCCGTTCTGCAGGTGCAGGCAAAGCCGCTGAGCAAGGTCGGCAAGTCCATGGTTGCAAAAATGGAGGCTTCGATGGCGTTCTCTCGAGCCGTGCTGCGCATTTTACGGATGACCGGGCATGCTTCGAAGCTGCATGCTCGAGTTGCCATTCCCTTTGTCCGAGATATTTGTCGCTGATCGACAAGAGAGTCGCTTGAACCATTCAGCCGCCGAGCCTCAGTCCATTCGAAGATAGGCGCTGGCAACCAACCCATGCTGATTTGTTAGCGCCCAAATTGCGGCTTGGCACACAAGCCGGTTGAGCGGTATCGAGTAAGAGGGGGACGATCATGCGAGTTGAAAAGACGCACCTGGCCCCACATACATGTTTGAGACTCCGCAACCATGAGCTCTGTGGGACTTTTAGCAAAGAAGCCGGGTCGAGCCTAGTGTTTGATTGATGCAGTTTTAGGATCGTCACCTGGCACCGAATGCTCCGTAGTAGTTGAAAAATGCACAACAAGCCCGGCTCAGCCTCCATTCTCATGAGATTGAGGAAGAACCTGCTGGCACCGAAAGCTCCCTTTGGGCTGAGATTTAGCAATGTTTGCCTGGGCTGGATGCCGTGAGCGATTTGAGCGACGGGCAAACGGTTCCGTCCTTGTTTGGGCCATGTCTGCTTTGCTGTCGACCGGGTCGCATATGACGCGTTTCTTTCTGAGGGCAGAACTCTGACTCCGAGGATGATCCTTCTCTGGAGAACTACCTGGGCAGGGAGATTGCTAATAGGCAAAGCGCGGCTCGTGCTGCGGACCCGGGGTTTCTGCTCTGGCTCGCTGCCGGAGTCGTCTTTCAGAAGCAGGACTTGGAGTTCCTTCTCGCGTCTCAAATCACCGGTCCTTTCTTGGCTGCGGCAATGTCGACTCGGCCACGTGAACATGGCAGAGTGGCCAAAGAAGATGGCCATCTTTTAAGACCTTGCCGGTGCGTCGGTCCGTGATTGCCAGCTCCAGGTACTCTCGCAGATGTCCTCGGCTCGTACAAGGGGCGCTGACGTTTTTGAGTTTCTGCGTCCGGGGCTCGGGCTCCAGCGGGCCTCTTTCTGCGCATGCGGTTATGGTGTCGTACACCACGGTGTCTGGGTATACCTGGGTCGTATGTAACGGAACTGATTAGAGCGGAACTGTCTCGGTCCGGCCTGGAACTCAAGGGAATCGCCACTGAGCCCCAAGGAAAGCCGGACCGTCCTGCTGGCCTTGCCGAAACAGGTGTCGGGTTGGAGGTTTGCGGTAGTTTCTTGGGGCCGGGCACTTTTGCCCCACGTTTCTCTTGCTTGAAAGCCTCGGCAGAAAGCGTCTGATCCGGCCGGGCATCTCTTCTTTGTCCTAGTCGACTCTTTCCAAGGATGGTGTCATGCTGCTCCTATAATGAGATGGTTAGACTTCGGCTCGAGCCGTGGTGCTGCAAAGAATGAGTTGTGGTTTATTGGTGGCTTTTGTTGTGCGCTTCGCTGCGTTACATGCTTGTGCTAGTCGCCACAGGTCGCCTTTCGATCCTTAAAGTATCGTTCACAAAGACGGGGTAAGCGACTTCCTTCGTATCTGCACCACTGGAAGCAAGCCTTACGGCCCTTCTGAACTAGGGGTCTACCTAATGTCGCGTGAACAAGGAACCACATGACAACCGGTGCTCTGGTCCACTACAAGCTACGTTAATCAGGATTTCACTGACTGAAGAAAAAACGAATGGGCAGGCATCGAACCGGACAAAGGAAGAGCAATGCTGAAAACTCAACCACGATGGTCAGCGGCGGCAACAAACAGCTCATGTGTTCTGTCAAAATATCGGATGCATTTCAGTGAGGGACTCTATGGCAACATGTTGATTCCACAGCTCTTCGTGTTTATGTTTTTTTGTTTATCTCAATGCTTTGATCCCTGCTTGCACCTTCACTCATTTCAGTGATATCCTCAGAATCTTTTCTAGAGTCCATACCTCAAATCAAACAGGGCCCGCAGCCATCTTTGTGCACTTATGCAAGCAAGTCCATGGCGTGAAGCAAATCGGCGCGAGGAGCTGCTGGCTGCTGCGCCAACTGTCGGACTTGTGCTCACACGAGGATACACGCTTTCCTTATCTCGAACCGCGCCGGCTTTTGCAGTCGTGTTCAAGCTAAGTGCACGCAGAACTGGCGCGGCGGGGTGAGAACTTCATTCGCAACTACTGTGCCCAGTGTCCTGGTGTTCATTGTGACGATGTGCACATTTCCAATTCGCTGGCACTGGCGTGTACCGGCCGTTGATTGGTCTTTGCCAGCACTTCCACTGCACAGGTACCGGCAAGTATCGACCGTTCACCGGTTTCTGCCACACTCTCACTGTCGCCGGCTCCTGCGTGCAAAGATGCTTTGAGGCAAAGGTTTTGAGCGACATGCGCTGCGGACGGGCCTTCCCGGCAATGCTTGTCTGCATAGCTGAGGGGCATGCAGCATCGGCCTCGGTGGCTAAACTGCGCTGGAGTGCTTGGACGAACTTCAGTGCATGGGGACCTTCTTCGAGCCGCTTGGCTTCACGGTCGACGGGCGCGCGTGTCGTACCTCAGAGGCCACACTACGCCACTACGCGTTCTTTCCAGCCAGGGTGAAGATCGCCGAATTGGCGCGCCTTGCATGTTGGCCGTGGCTTCGATTTGGGCTTAGCCGCTTGCAGAGCTCGGAGCATGAAAACCTGGCAGCGAGCATGTCGCATGTCTGACCCTGTTTGCGAACTCACAGTAGACCAAACAATCGTCGACCTTTCGTGACATCGTCGGTTTTGGTGGGAGTGCCTCTCAGGTTGGCACATGTCTTTGCAAGCTTCTAACATCTCGATTGTAGGGGCCTGCCTCGTCCGAACCGAGTAAGCGACGGAGGGTCTTGTTCTCGAGACTGCCTCTCTGGGAAGTTTTCCCATTGACGTGAGGATAAACGAACAGATTGGACAGGCCGGCCTTCCAGCACCATTCGGGTTGAGGATAAGGGGCGAGCTAGCTTTATCTGTTATTGTGTGAGCCAAGGCGCTGCATGAAAATGCCATGTAGACGAATTATTACGTAGACTGGCCGTCCGACATATTGTGGTGCAAAGCTGATATCGGCACTCCCTCATCAACGTCCACAAGAGCCCTGTAGACTAGTCAGAGCAGTCGGAGGCAGCAGTGTTTCCCTCCGAAGCACCGAAGGAATTCTCGTAACAAGGTCGGCATGTTGCGGAGGGAGGCGACGTGCAAAACCTGTTTCGTTATACAACATTTCGGAGCACTATTAAGCTGCAGGCACACAACAAGTGATGCTTCGAGACTAAGATCCTGCTTTCCATGACCCAATAAGAGACGTGAACCCAACTATGCACATGCTACTTGTGCTTTGCATCGCCTCCTTTTGACTGGGTTGCTGCTGGCCTATTCTGCCGCGCTCATGTGCCTAAGTAGTGGCAGCATGGGTACATAAACTGCAACGGCTCCGAGTGATGTCATGAGGCCTGGACATGGCCAGTGCAAGCTCCAAATTGCCTGCGTAGGTGCCCAGGCTTAGGGCAAACTTCTCCTGCAAGATATCAGAGAGCATGAGTCGTCGTCTATCTATCTGCTGTTCTTTCTGCCTCGGATTTGATCCGAGTAAGAATTGCCGCCAGCGTGGCCAGCAAGTCCAAAGATGTGCCATCCTGCAACCCGTCTCCAAAGGCTAATGGCCAACACGGACGGGCATCCGTGCCTCTGAACGGACGATGCAGGGCCAGTGGTGTGGTGCGAGGCTGATAGCTGCCACGACTCTACCACCCAAGGGTTCTTGGTCTTGCAGAGAGCTTGCCAGAGGCTCGTACCCACCTCATGACAGCCATGACGACAGCCCGCAAGAAGGAAGTTGAAAAACACGGTTCGGAGTCAGGTGCCTGTGTTGCTGCACGGCATCACCAACAACGTCTTGCCTGGCGTATGATGACGCGGTCCATTTGAAGTTGGGGCAAACAACATGAAGCGCCGGCTGTCCAGCCTGGTGGCGCCGCATGGAACTCCAAAGTCTCATAGTAGGCAGGATATGGCATCACTGCAGTGCCGCTGCTCCTTACAAAGCACTACCCAGGGAGGAATGATGCACTCGGACATCCGCACACACAATACACACAGAGCCTGACGAGGCCCTTGCTTCCATGCTATCTAGCAAAATGCTTGACTCTTGTATTCTTCGTTGCTGCATGCAGCGACCGTAGCACGGGTGCCGTTGCAGACCTTGCAACATTGCAAACAAGGAAACGGAGCTAGTGCAAGGCTCACCGAAACCCCGCGTCGAGGCAAATACGTTTCCATGCGGGCTGCCCCAGATCACGAGGTCGAAGCTGCCATGTGGTACTGGCGGCACCTGCCACTCTGATAGAGGAACAAACGCATGCGCATGCATCAATTTTAAGAACTCGTCCGTCCTTCCACGACAGTACATTGAAACCATCAACACTTTCGAACGGCAGCTCGTTCGCGTCGAGGATAGCTCCGCAGGCCGCGAGAATGAACAAGTTCTTGTCCTGCATATCCCGTAGTTCGACTAGCTTGCTGTGTTGTTGCATAACATTGAGCACACGGCCAGGTGCCATCGCGCCGGACAACGTACCTCTGCGTCCTGATCCATGCCGACGACCCTTCGACACGGTGGGAGTCAATGCGCGCGGCTCTCTCACACCTGCCTCTTCCTCCGCTTCGAGGTCCTGTGCAGAACACAGGATCGGCAAGCTCGGACAATCACGGCGCAAATGATGGAGATCCTTTAGCCAGGAGAGTGGCACTGAAGTTGGGATTATACCGAAGTCGCTGATGACCAATCGCTCCATGTTACGTCTCCTCAGCAGAACAAACATAGAAGCAATGTGCAAAGTACTTCAATTAGATCAAAGCAGCAGCTCCTTGGCAGCAGGGCCGAAAAGAGCAGCTGTTACTGCAGTCTTGGCTGACTTGAGCACAAAATGCTGTTCCGATAAAAATATCGCTTCCGTTATGCATTTGCTCTTCTACATCTGCATCCAGAAATGCAGAAGGACCAACTGGAGAGCCTTTTCTCGCCATTTTGCTGGCTGATCTGTATTCGGGGTCAGATGCTATGCACACAAGCCAGGCAGGTTTCCGGCGTTATTCAGCCCCAAGAGAAGCGCACCTGTCGAGCAGGCGGGAGATGGTGCACCATGCGGTTTAAGAATAACCAAAAGCTGCGGCACAACATACCGGTTAAGAATAAGCTCAAACATGGTGGCACACTGTACAAAAGCAAACGTGGCGGCACACCACACTGGTTAAGAAGAGTCTCAAACATGGCAGGGCACCGTACAGAAGCAAACGTGGCGGCGCACCATACTGGTTAAGAAAATACTCAAACATGGCGGCGCAGCATACAGAAGCAAACGTGGCGGCACATCCTACTGGTTAAGAATACTTTCAAGAATGGCGGGGCGCCCTACAAAAGCAAGTGTTGCGGCATGTCGGCGCATCGTTGAGAAGCAAACGTGGCGGCACACCATACTGGCTAAGAACAAACTCAAACGTGGCGGCGCACCGTACGGAAGCAAACATGGCGGCGCACCATGCAGATTAAGAAGAATAAGCCCAAACATGGCGGCGGACCGTACCGGTTAATAATAAGCTCACCTGGCAGTGCACCATACTGGTCAAGAATAAGCTCAAGCGTGGCGGTGCACCGTACCGATTAAGAATAAGCTCACCTGGCGGTGCACCATACAAGTTAAGAATAAGCTCAAACATGGCGGCGAACCAGAAGCAAACGGGGCGACGCACCATACTGCTGCTCAAACATGGTGGCGCAAACGTGGCGGCGCACTATGCAGGCTAAGAAGGAGCTTAAACATGCTGGCTATGTGCATATGTGCCGGCCTTCTTCTTCTACTGCCTCAGCTTCAGAGTAGCTGCCGGGCGGTGCTCACACAAGCTGTCACAAGCACTTACGTACCGGCCTTCTTCTTTCGTTGCTCAGCTTCGGAGTAGGTACCTGCCGTCGCGCACACACATAGACACACGCGCACGCCCACGCACACACAACAAGTATCAGCAGTGTACAACATCTTTCGTACCTCCGGATGCCGCTCCAGTCTGTGCGATCTCTGTCGGCCTGTGGTGGTTGCCACTGGTTGTGCAGTGCCCGTCAGAGAACAAATCTAGGGTAGCTTACAACCCAAAAAAGCTCGGCTTTCTTTCCGTCTCGCCGTACTGCGCTGGGTGAAACAACGTGCATCAATCAAGAGTCCTTCGCTGAATGCTTTCTGCGACCATTTCTAGGGCCATAGCTGCGCGCTTGGCCACACGCCTTGCTGCCTCTTGCTTTTCTCTCCGGCGCTCCTTTTGTTTGTGCTTTCGGAACTCTGCCTGTTCCTCCTGTTTTCTCTTCTTCTCGAAAATCTCGAGGTTCTTGATGCAGAGGCGTATGTTCTTCTTGGTGCCGAGCGGAAGACCTTGCAAGTCCTGGTTCGAGAAGCGTTGGAGTCGCCGGCCGAAGTCTAGGTCGCCCGTGATTCTGGGCGCTAGCATTGGGTATTTCGAAAGGGCCCCGATCAACGCCAGGCGACCCAGCGTGAGGGCCCAGTCTGAGCGCTTCGAAAATCCTGCGACGAGCCGCTTCAGGTGCACGGATAAGCGTGACCATTTCTGTGCCGCAACCGAGCAAGTGCAGATCAAAGCACCGAAAAGCATCGATGTATCCATGGCGCCGGGTGGGGCGTGATTGTCGAACTCAGCTTGATTTGTGCCCAAGAGCTACACCGGTTAAGGCAGCTGAGGATAATTCCTGGCCGGAGGTTAAGCTGCAGACGATCCTGCCTGCTAACCATCTTTCGGCCGGCCCCCGCCTTATTCAGCTTGAGGACGAGCTGGGAAGAAGGCACCTGGCGCATTAGTATGGCTAGAGGACGAGGAAGCCAGATCGAATTGCGCGACCCGTTCGCTTTAGGATCTTCTCAGGTAAGACGCCGTGTCCTGCGTGTCCAGGATCGGCACCTGACGTCGCGTAGCTGCGATGACAAGAAAGTACGGGGGCGGATATTCTAACGGGCCACCTAGCACACGTCCAAGTTGCGAGGAAGCAGAGGCGTCCAGCAAGGCTCTGCTGCAGCTAGCATCTCACCATGCGGGAACGGAACGCAGCCTCTCCTGCAGCCTTGCCCGCCGAAGACTTTAATTTCGAAGCTGGCTTTGGTTCCGTGTTCCTTGCACCCATGTCTTGTCGGCACTTGAATATGAAACAAGCCCGGCCCAGCCTCCGTTCGAGAAGCTGCTGCTACTGAAAGCCCCATACGGGCTAAGAATTAGCAAATTATCCGTGCCCGGCCTGCATCCTGATGGAAGTTGAGGATAAGAACCTCGCACCGAGTGCCGTGCACAGGTAGAGAACACACAAACTTGCCGAGCTTCGCCCCACACAGCTAAGAAACAACCGTCGACGTAGGGGCTTCGCCAATGCAGCCGAAGGGTTGAAAACTAGCTTTGCCGGGACTTGAAGCCACCTGAAAAGGGAGCGCTTTGCACGCGTGCTTTTTCTCCGTAGACTCGATGCTTGTGCTCTCACGGTTGTCTAGGCTCCTTGGCCTCGCATCGCGCCGCAAGCGGCGCCGGCGCATCAACGCGTCTCGGATCGTGAACTCCTAATCAGGAGCCACTCGTGCAAGGTTACGATGCATGGCCACACTGACCCAACCCGCTAGGACCTCAGTGGCAGTGGGCGCAGATGAGGACCGGGCGTGTGAAGGCTATAGGCGAGGCTAGCGACCAGGATAGCTTCGAGCCGAGGAGGTACGGCAACAGCATTTTTCCGGCATGGACGTGTCGTCAAGTGCCCTGTCATGCAACAGAATCCCCCTTTTCTGCTGCATTCTTCCTACAAGCACTTGCTTTCTTTCTTTCTTTGCTGGCATTCCCTTGTACCTGGGCGCTGCGCACGCACTGCAGCAAGCTGCCCGCTCACTGTGCGCTGCCCTGGCACGAAAACATGTTCAGCTGACTCCACTGGCCACTCTCTCTCGCCTAGCCTTGCCTCTTCGGCTCCGAAGAGATCGCTTTCCCACGCCCAGATGGTGTCGCTGAGGTACCACCACACTACCCACTCCTCCTTCTTCTGGGCTTGGTAGCCTGTGCAAAATCTGAGATCTTAACACAAAGACTCGACCCGAAGCTGCTCCTGTCCCTCGCCTGTCCACCCGTGGTTCACCAGAAGCTCGCGCTTGTTCGCTTCCGTCGCACAGGACTTCGGCAACAGAGGGATGCAGTCTATTGGCTAGCTTGGTCTGCGTTTCGTTGCAAGGATCAATGTAGGGCGCCGACGCGGAGGAGCTTCGCCATGGACTCGGTGGGAGACGGCGGCTTGCGAGCCGGCTTCGCCGGCAGCTTGGGGTCCGTCACTGGAGGGTGCGGCGGCAGTGGAGGCGGAGGGGGAGTTGTCGCTTCCAAGCCGGGCTCATCGGTGGGCGGGTAACGGCCCTGCACACGCCGCACAGAATGAAGGCATTGATTTCACGATTGACTTGGCTTGGGCGTACGGAGACCGTGCCTTGCGGATGTCCCACCAGCGACGCTCGGCGAAGTCCCATTGCACCATCAGCTGACCTGAGACGCAAACATGCGAGGACATTCTGGAGGGAATGTCGTGAGGACGGTGCTCAGGCTCCAACTCTTTTGTATGTCGCTGGCACGGAGCCATTTCTTGCGCCTGGCAACAGGAACACAACTTGAATTTCGAAGCACTGGACGCAGAGAACGAGGTTCTGGCTGGTTTGTTGTGAGCGATTCGACAAACTTTTCGTTCACCGCACCGCTGAACTTGTGCCTGCGGAGAGCTAGCCGTTGCAGACATGAAAGGCTGGCAGAGAAGCTTCTGAGGCGAGAACTTCAAGAAGTCAGCGACCGACTTGTCGTGGTTGAACCTGAGGGATAGGGGGTTGATAGGAACGGTGAACTTCGCAGGCCCGGGCTCCCACACATGCTCCATTGCTGGGTAAGAGATATGAAAACTACACACTTCGATGCAAGCCAAACTGCAGAAAGAAGCACAGCTGAGTGAAAAGCAGGTTTCCCCAAAGACATACGCTGAAGCATCTCTATACTAGACATAAACATATATCTATTTATGTGTGTATGTATATAGAGATGTGTATACAAATATGCATATACTCAGAGACGCTCCATTGCTGGAGGGCCAATCTCCCAAAGCTAGAACGACTTAGCAATATGCAGCACTCACAGATTGGTGATACTGGGGCTGCCTGGAAGGCGCTGCAAGGCATGATGTACGTCACGGCAAGGTATGATAATGCGGCACTTTTTCCGGATCATACAGTGTGCTGCGAGTAGTTGAAGCCATCTGCAGGCATGCTTTATGTCAACAGAAGCACAAGTTGCATGAGGGCATGTGGTAGTCTTAAACGGAGCTTGCCATGTCAATGCCCACACGACAGGCGTCTACTATCTCTTACACAGACAGAAGGAAATCAAGAGCAAGAGCATAGCACCTTTTTTTGCGACGGTACCGGGTGCACTAATCGTCTCCGGAGACGCTGCCAGATCCTCATAGATCCTGCCAAGTGCAGACAGAAGCCTTGAAGAAAGCGAAGTTTAACACGATAGGGCCAGTCCCTGTCCCAGATCGCGTGTTGGGTAGGTTCCTCATACCACCAATCTCGCTTGGTCTCGGGATCGCGGAAGCCTAGGAAAACATCGACACCTAGATAGACAACCCACACGCCTACACATGCACGCACGCAGACATCCTTCCGAGTATCATGAAGCTCCCACGGTTCCATCCGTTCTTCTTGAGAATTTGCAGTTTCAAAGCCAATTCACGCACCTGCCAAGCAAGCCATCCCATTTCTCCGCCGCAGGCAACATCCTATGCCTGTCTAAGCAGTTCGAGAAATTGGCGACCGTGGAGATCTCTTTTGTCCTGACATACTCCTGCGTCTGCTACTCAAGAGAATCGCGGTATTGAACCTTCCTCAAGCGTGCCTTCACCTTGAAGCAAAGGTTCCACCACAGACCTTCGAGTCGCCAAATCGCCAAGAGCTCACCTGTGCCCATTTTCTGAACGATCGGAGCATGCATGCTGCTAAGCAACGAGGCTCAGTGACGGGCACTTGCCGATCGGCCCTACGCCTCAAACACCAACACACAGACATTGTTTTACATACTTAACTCTTTTGCTTCCCGCCTCGCCACTCCACCAGCCTGAAAGCAATTTGGAGCGGAAGCGAATACAAACGACCACATGACGGACACCCTGCCTAGCATTGCATAAGAAGAGCTCCATCATGTCCGTCGCATCCGCTGCTGGCCTGCCACACCACATTCATTCACTCATTCCTTGCTATATGAAGACTTACGAAGGACACCAGGCCTGCCTGGGAGTCGAAATCTTTGCAAAGCTGTCCATAGCCGTCAAAATTACCCCAATGAATATTTCCTGTAACTGGTACTGTAACGGCAGATGGCCATAACAAAAGCAAAGTCAATGCTCCGAGGCGAGGTAAGACACATGAAAACCACGCACTTCGATGCAAGCCAAGCTGCCGAAAGAAACACAGCAGAGTGAAGAACAGATCTTCCGAATGGCACCCGCTGCAACATTTCAATAATAGACACAAGCATATATATATATATATATATATATATAGGTATGTATACAAAAATACATATATGCGGGTATGCATGCCGGCAGACCCACCGCCTTCAGAAAGAATCGCTCTTTTCTCGCGACCGTTGCAGTGCAGCTCATTACCGCTGGCCTGCTCCGACCTACCCTATCGTTTTCTCATGCGCTTGCGCATGGAATCTCTGAGCCTTTGCTCGTCTTCTTCAGCAAGGATACCTTCCACAGCTTTCCAAAGGCTTTCTGGGACGTCGTTGGGACTGCTTGCACGACGCCTCATCACGCAGCCGGTGCAGAGGTAATTCCCAGCTTGCAACTTGTGGGCTCGCCTGTCAGTCTGTCGAGAGACAACTTCGCCGGCGATTTTGTTAAACAGGGTTATTGAAAGGTTTACATCAAGCTTTAATTGCAAGGGCATGAAGGATTGAACTATAGTGATAGTCCATAACATGTCTGTATGGCAGTTTGAAGTCATGTGTTAAACACAAACAGACCATAGAGCGAACGTCTTGAATTATGACGTTGCCTTTTCAGCATGACCAGGATCGAACCCGTTCCCTCAACCCCCACATGTGGCGGCCTGCCAGCCTTCTTCTCGTGATTCACGGGGAGGTTGCAATCCGCGCATGAAGGCACTGGGCATTGGCGGCATTTTGGACAGGAGGGCTTCTCGCGCATCTGGGCCAGGTGCCTTTTGTTGTTTGTCAGGGCGGCATCGCAAATGAAGCAGGCGTCCATCGCAGAAGCCAATACTTGGAAGAAGGACGGGACAAAGGCTTGAGAAAGAGCAACTGCAGAAACGACATCGCTGGCTAGGGCAATCGAGTTCCCTTGGGGGCTTAAAGAAGCTCGAAAGTCTGGGGGCATTCCGGGAATGAAACACCCGGACATGCTGACAAAGGAGATCACGGAGAAAGACTGCCGAGACTACCCTGAGTTTTGCGCACACAGCCTTCGGATGCTGTCAAAATGTTGCCTAAGGCGAAGAACAGCGAGCTCGCCTACAGCCCTTCGGCTCGCGGGCTCCTTGAACGTGCTCTCCCTGACCCCGTGGGATCAGGCGCGAGCAAAG